GAATTAGGCTACCTCTGTGCGTCCCTCAACAGTGTTCTGCAGCAGCGTCTCTAAACAGCACTGTTATTACCTCGCTAGTGAGAAATGTCATGTGTAGCCTTTAAGTTGCTACACTATATAGGCTAACAAATAAAATCTTCAGGGCAACGCTGACAACACCTTTTTGTGCAAACTGCGTGACCGTAGTGTGCGTGTGCGAGCACGTGTGAGCGCAGTAATTCTTTTGTGCTGTATAGGTACTGTATGTAGGGCTGTCACGATAACTACTTTTTGTTGTGCGATATATTGCACCAAAATTAATTGCGATAAATGATATTATTGCTATTTTAAGACCATTTTATGCCACTGATTAATGACAGTATGACAATATAATAGCATAATAATGCAAGTACACTCTTTCAAATAACAATTTTTTTAATATAAAATAAAGAATATTTAGACACTGTAATCGGAATGTGAAAAAATATATCCTAAATAAATAAAAATAATTAATAATAAATTAGGGATGCAACGATACCATTTTTTTTTTTAGAACCAATCCGATCCGATACTGAAAATTCTGAGTATCGGTCAATACAGATACCGATCCGATACCAGTACATTTTTTTAAAATCAATGTAGAATTAATGTACTTCTGTGTGTTGACCTGATCGTCACTTCTTTTGTGTGTTAAACACAATCTACTAAATATAGACAAGTTAATTTTAATACAAAATAACAAATAAAAAAAATATATAATCATAATCTATGAAAATAATACTATTATAAACTAGGTTAGGTTATTCTAGAAAAATCATGAGTGCACAATTTTATAAATTGTAAACATTTACTGAAATAACATTAGTGGGGAACAAAAAAAGTGAGTAAGTGTAGGACTAAATCTGGTAAAATGTTATACATTGCTCTTTGTACTATGGTAAAATACATTCATGAAAAACCAATAAATATATAAAGATTTGTTTAAATGATATAAATGCATGTTTGCTGAATGCTGACGGCAAATGAGAAAGTATTATAATGTTTGCCTTTCTATTACTAATAATATTAAAGCAATCGTTATAATACTTTTTTGTATACATTTTAATTCATTTGTTTAACAGTTCTGTAAGAAATAATTGACGACGGGCTGTTGAATTATTAGAAAAATAATGCACACCCGAAGTGGTGATGCGGCCACGACGCGAAGCGTAAGAAAAATTATTATTTTTCTAATAATTCAACGGCCCGGAGTCAATTATTCCGCTTATACTACGGTTACCACACCTCAAGACATCAATCAGATGATATATTTAAAGGGATTCGTCTGGTTTTTGTACTTAAATCGCTATTGTGAGTAGGATTATTTCTTCCGCATCTCATCCAACGCCTCTTTTGCTAGTTCCAAAACGTCATTTTAAAGGGGTCATATGATGCGATTTCAATTTTTCCTTTCTCTTTGGAGTGTTACAAGCCATATGATAGATAGGAGTCATATCTATCATATGTTGCTGCCTCCATTACTGTGCTATACATTAAATTATTAATAGCTTTCTTGTTCTGTCCTATCATGCGCAAAAGTATTATAATATAGTATGAAAGGCTCAATCCAGAGCAGCCCAAAGCGCATCCCGTGCGCAGAATGATGCACTTGAAGCAACACGGAGTCACAGCGCGCAGCTCTCCACGTAGAAAAGTTCAAAGCAGAAAGAAGAGCTATTGATGCGTAGTGTATTAAATCTGTTCTGTAGTGTATTGAGCCTTTTCTTTTAACAGTTTTAAACTTAATTTACTGTGTGCTCTCGGAGGGAGTTTCATCGTCTTGACTGTCGTAACCTAACGCGACACGCAGCTTGAATGCTGTCCGCTCTGTGTGTGTGGGGAGACGCTGCCTGAGCCCCGCCTCCGCCACAGAGAGCAGACGAGATGACAGAGGCAGCGCGATTGAATAAAAAGTTGGTGACATTCATTTTTATGTAAAAAATATAAATCATTATTTTTAATTATAAAAAAAAATTATCAGTCGCAATATATCGTGGCACCAAAAATTAATAATAATAAGAAAATTAATAATAATAAGACGATATATTGATTATCGTGACAGGCCTAACTGTATGCTAATTTCCGTTATTACAGTTAACTATGCGAAGTGATAAAAAATTATTGATGGAGAACCAAGTAAAGCCGAGCTGCTTCAGTCCAGTAAGTGTTCATCTGGAAATATGACTACAGTTATTCTGACGTTTACTTGATAAAAATCAGTCAAGATTTGACAGCAGAAAGACACGTGAAGCACCAGCAGAAGGAGACGTTTGTACAATTAGACTAAAAGCTGAGCTGACTTGATAAAGAAGTCTAAACTATCTAAATTAGACATCAGAAAGCATGGAGTAGATTGTGTGCAATGGGTTTTTCTGCAAAGGTTTGAACATGTTGATCATTTAGAGGCCTTAGAAATTCATGCATCAAATATGATACAGTATGCTTTATAGGGTTAAATCACTGGCATTTCAAGTGCCACCGATTGAAGACAGAGAGAAATACAATGTTTATCATTGCATTTTGCGGTCAAATCTTTATTACACTACAGTAGTGTATTGTACTTCAGTTTGTGCAAAACGGGGAAATAAGTTTGCATGTAGCTTTCTGGTGATTACATACATGAATGCATATAAACATGCACTGAACAGACAGAAAGGGAGCGAAGGGTCGTTCAATTACCTTGACACAGATTCCACATCCGATGCAGAGAGACTCTGAGATCCAGGCGATTTTACTCTGAGGTGTGACCTCGATACACAGCTTTCCTGAGAAAACACATGAAAACACATGAGTGATGCGGCTAACCTGCGCCGAAAATGAAATCTGGTGTCTTCAGCGTGCGATTCTTACCCATGCGCACTACCGGACAGCTCTTCTTGCACTCTTGGCGGCATTTCTTAGGCTTACACTTGTCATGGTTCACAATAGCGATTCTGGTGTTCTTGTCGGCCATTTGGCTGGTTTGATGTCGCACACCGGCGACGCTGATCTAAAGGAACCGAGGAGGTCTAGATCTCACTAGAAAGAGAGAGATAAAGATTAATGCCAACAAAACAAACTAATAATTAGGGTTGCATGATATATTGAAATATTGCAAATGTACAAATCGCAATACGCATATCATAACTGCTTGCAATTACTGAATAATTGTAATAGGTTAATAGTTTTGTAATAGTTTTAATAGACAAAATAGATTTTAATTGTTATGAAAAGAGCTTTAGGTCATGCCAAATTGTCTTTGATCTTTCAAGCTGTTTCATGGCACTCAGCGGGTGTTGCATGCATCAGTCCAAAAGCACTTAATTAAAACGCGCCCATCCATTAAAAAAAAAAAAAAAAAGAGTATAACATGGCCCGTGTTGCATGCATCAGTCCAAAAGCACTTAATTAAAACGCGCCCATCCATTAAAAAAAAAAAAAAAAAGTGTCTCACATGGCTCCCGGGGGGTGAACAAAGGCCTTCTGTAGTGAATTGATGTGTTTTTGTAAAAAAAATATCTATATTCAAAACGTAATAATCACTTTAATTTAGCTTGCGCTCACTTATGACGTATGAGGTCTGCTTTGCACATGCGCCGCTCAGAAGTGACGAACACGGAAGCGCAGCGGAGAGCTCAAAACAAAACAACGGTCACTTATTAGAAGTACAAAACGAGGATTTTGGTTTTCACAAGACTCACCGGCGCATGCGCAGCACTGACCTCATACGTCATGCTCCCGGAGCTGCTTCTGTGTACAACAGTGAGCGCATGCTAGATTAAAGTGATTATTACGTTTTGAAAATGGATATTTTTCTTACAAAAACGCATCGATTCGCTACAGAAGCCCTTTGTTCACCCCCCGGAGCCATGTGAGACACTTTCTTTTATGGATGGGCGCATTTTAATTAAGTGCTTTTGGACTGACGCATGTAAAACCCGCTGAGTGCCATGAAACAGTTTGAAAGATCAAAGACAATTTTTAATATAACTAGGGTTGGGTATCGTTTGATTTTTTTTCAATACCGGTGCCAAATCGATACTTTTAAAACTGTTCCGGTGCCTAAACGGTGCCTGAACTGATACTTATTAAAAAATAAATAAATAAAAAATCCCCCCCAAAAATTATGGATTGGCCATTAGAATAGAAAGAGAATAGAGAGTGCAAATGTTAGAGGGTCAAGTTTTTTAATAAAAAAAAACAAACAAGCAGATAAAATTATAAGTAGCATTAGAATAGAGCGTGCTAGAGTTAGAGGGTCAAATGAAGATGAAAGAGATGTGTTTTCAGCCGTTTCTTGAAAATATTAAGGACTCAGCTGCTTGGATTGAGCTGGGCAGGTCATTCCACCAGGAGGGAACAGTTAATGTAGAAGTCCATGAAAGTTTCATCATAGGTAGAATGCGAAATATTTCAATACAAGCATTTCAGTCAAATGTAATGTATGCAATATTTCAAATCTTTAACCCACTTGGGAAAATCAACCCATGGCAACAGTTTAAAAGTAGCCCAATTCTGTGGAAAAAACGCGGACTTGGCAACCCTGCATCCAACAAGAGCTACCGGAGTCAGCTTTGACTGATCACAGGTCGAGAATAAAAAGAGATGACTGACAACACCATGCTGGAGTATTTGCTGCTCAACAAATTCTGAGCTCAATGACAAATATCTGATCTTGTAAGATGTGCTCCCTTTAGACAGAGTGCGTGTGATCACGAAATGGGAGTGGGATTAAGAAAATGGCTGAATCCCGGATATTTTGGGCAATTAAGAAATCCCGGCCGGACGCATTTTTGTAGGTCCAAAAAGAAGACATGTCCGGGGAAAAGAGGACGTATGGGTCACCCTAATTTATAATCGATGTATTCTTTTTAAAGTAGCCTATGCAACATATTTTCTGCCTCATTCTGTGACAAGAAGTCTCATCAGATCACAAAAGGAAGCATTTGACTGGTGTTGTGGAGTAAAAAGGTTATAATTTTCTCTTTTGTTGGACAACAGGTTTAGAAATGTGAATACAAGGGAGGTTTAGCTTTAGGCATTTTAATTTAAGCATGTTTAGCTTAGTTAACGGAAGGCTACCTGCTGCCATTAGAGCAAGTGTAATTACTGCATTCACGCACTCCTCGAATGCTCTCATTTTCCTAGTTGTGCTTTTAAGTCGGAATGTGAAAACAACATGGACACTCTCGTTACTACAAAGATGTGTTGGATTTGTATTATTAGAGCTTTCCGACTTGAGTTCACGTGCATTTTTTCTCAGTCGGGAAATTATTTTTCATGTGCCGTGCCGCGATGATGTTTCTTACGTCCGTTTCGGAGAACCAGAGGACAAATATTTCAATCGATCGCTCAGGCATGGCACCGAAATGAGGCACCGAAATCTGCATTCGGATTCGGTTCTAGTACATACCGGTTACATAGGTACCGGTGCTATATTGGTACCGGGTTTCGGTACCCAACCCTAAATATAACTCCGACTGGATTCGTCTGAAAGAAGAAAGTCATATACACCTAGTATGCCTTGAGGGTGAGTAATTTATGGGCTAATTTTCATTTTTGGGTTAACTAACCCTTTAAAGTGACAGCAGACTAATAGTACTAAACATACTAGTACACACACATACACATACACATAATAGTACTGTCATTATTTATTCACTCACATGTTGTCCCAAACCTGTATTAATTTCTTTCTTGTGCTGAATGCAAAAAGATATTTTGGGTAACCAAAAAGTTGCTGAACCCCATTAACTTTGATAGAAGGAAAACAAAATACTATGGAAGTCACTGGGGACCAGCAACCTATTGCTTACCCACATTCTTCAAAATAACTTTTACATTAAACAGAAGAAACTCATTCAGGTTTAAAACAACTTGCGAGTGAATAAATGATGACAGAATTTTCAGCAGTTTGGACATGAATGAAGAGAGAGAACCTGCACTTAACCTTTTCTCACAGGCATTTTGTTTTCATAGTTAGACAGCTATTGTGATTAGGGGTGTAACGATTCACTCGTTTTCTTGATGCATCAATTACAAACCCTGACGATGCAATGCATCGATCTTGAAACATGGATTTTTGAATCGTGAATTGTCGATTTCGGACAGTAATCGATTTAAAACACTAAGAATCTATAATCGATTCTAATCGATTTCTATAGCGATTCAATGCTTTCAAAATATATACACATTCAATTACTACAAGCACGAATTAATGGAGACCTTGAACAGTGTTCGTGCCTCGC